GCTTGGTCAGATACCAAGAAAACAGTGTGTGTAGGGTGGATTAGGGCATGATGGTCAACAACTGGAAAGCAGCTTGATACTTCCTACAAAGGAAAAGCCACTGGCCTGCAAGTCAGAAGACATGACTTTCATCTCTACTGCTTACTCTCTGCAGAGCCGTAGTCATTAAATCACATCCACAAGACTGTTTCCTTCTGTGGAAAATAAAAGCTTAGACTATATGACCTCTTTGCTCCTTTTCAGCTCTGAATTTCTGTTTTATAGAATTACTGAGCCCTCCCTGGACGTAAATTAATATCCTTTCAGATAGCTAAAGGCAACACACAGCAAAAAATGAGTCATAAGGCCTAATGTAGCCCTCTGAACAATGTACTGACTCAGGTAACCCATGCATCAATAAACCCTGTCAATATAATTTTCCAAACTCTTTTTATAGACCAATGACACCATCAATTACAACGTATGAGAATGAATGGAAAATGAGCTACCATCGGTGAATGCATTGGAGAAAGGCCGTAACCCAGGTGAGAAAAGCTTTCTGTTAGACTTCATTGGGGTTAGCTTCTGAGTGAAACTGTCTCTTTACATTCCCTATAACTTGAACATGGAAGATCTAGAGTCCATGCAGATGTCAGTCGTGGCAAAGGAGACCCGCAATGAAGAGCAAAGCTAGAAGAGGGAGAAGCTGGTGAGTGGCTGAATAACCATCTCCAGGCACACAAAGGGCAAGCCCACCAGGCTGCTGACCTGCCACTCTCCTCTGCAAAGAGCAGGAGAGGTTTGTTATAGCTCTTCTTCATTTTCCAGCACATCAGTATCTCCTGAGGAGCTTTAAAATTTGGGTCTGATCTACCTGATGAGGAGGAAACAGCCACAGAATGAATAACTGCAGTGGGTGGTCAGCTGGGGTGCTTGACCACAGTTTATCATTCATCATTCATTAAATACCTTGAATGTTCCCTAAGAGAAAGGCAGGCATTTTGGCAAGTGAGAGCCTTCCACAGTTCTCCAATGATCTGAACATCTGAAGTGCTCTCAGGGTAAAGAAGATGCCTCATGCCATTGCTAACAGGTTGGATACCCAGATTCTCTACGAAAATTATGAGCAAGCATTTTACTTCCTTTTTCCTTTTTTTCCTCCATCCCTTTCTTGGCTTTCCAGTCTCAGAAAAGCCAATGTAGCAGAGTTCCACCAGCTTCTTCATAGATCAGGACCTCCCTGATGAAAAGACTGTGTCTCACAATCATCCCCTTGATGTCCAGCACAAGGCCAGGCCATCTGTGAGTGTTTGCTCACTCCCTGTATGGAGGGTGCAAAGTTCCCAAGGTGGCAAAGGGGAGTAACTGGCATGTCTCCACCCCAAGAACCCTGTGTGTCCCTTGTGGTTAGAAGATTGGCACTGGGGATGAGAGGTAACTCAATTTCTCTTGGTGAGAAAAATTACTATCTATTTAAGCATCAAATTCAAAATGTGTCTCCCTTCCCTGCACTCCCATGATGCAGAGCCAGGGCAGTCCTGTGTAGCATTAAATACCCCTGTGCACCCCACCCATAAGCAGAGATCCTACACTAACCACTTTTAGTATCTGAAAGCCTCTATCACCCCTGAGTTCATCCCTTAGGGCCCTCCACACACCAACCACTCCTTAGTTTTTCCTGTCATTAAAAAAAAAAAAAGGGAACCAGCAGTTGGCGTAATGGCTGTATTGCTGGACTCCCACGTAGTCGACCGTGGTTCGAGTCCTGGACCCGGTGGCTTAGAACTCACAGTGGGCAAGTGTGCTTGCATGCCTGAGATCCCAAGAGGAGAATGGAGGAGAAGGGATTGCAGCGTGACCATCCCCTCTGGGGGGTGATTTCTCACTTTCTGTCTCTATGTCTCTGTCTGTTTGGCGAGCGCACGTACCCTATAGCAAAAAAAAAAAAAAAATGGGATAACCAGTTCCTTCAAAGGCATAAGTTAATAAACAGCAAATGGGGAGTCAACAGATGGAGTAGAGGTTAAGGCTCCAAGCTCCTACACTGTTCAAATCCCAGCTGCTTTAAAAACATTCCAGGTGTGTCGTACATGTCAAAAGCACAAGAAGAGAATAGAAGGAAAAGAGATTGCGGCGTGGCCATCCCCCTTGAGGAAGGGGAGGTGCTTTCTCCTCTCCCCACCCAGTGAACACACGTGCCCTAACAAAACCAAACAAAATAAGACAAAAGAGTAAATCAATTTTTCTCAAATCCTGGAGCAGTTAGAGGACTGAGAAACAGTGGAGAACTAGCCTAAGCACACCATGGATTCCTACACATAAGTCCTCAGTAGAGAAGGAAGATATGTACTGGCGTGGTTTAAAAGACCTCAAATCAAAAAGCCCCAGAATCCAAGCATCTCCTTCCAAGGTCAGGTTCATCATCCCTGATATGCTTGCTAATTTTGTCACTGTTTAAGTAGCCATGTGCTATTTCAAGTTAAGATATCATTAATTTTTTTTTTGTAGAAGTGTCCTACTCAGCTGACTCAATAGCAAGGATATATCTAACTGTTCAATGAATGACAACATTTTACCACGCAGAGCAGGATCTGAGGCAGCGGGACAGAACAGTCAAGTGTTGACAAGGGGGAGCCAGCTGGGGCCATCTTCCCAGCAGGAGTGTGGAGCCAGAGATACAGCAGGGTGGCATCAGGCATGTGAAAGGGAACACGGAGACCCTGGAAGTTGGCCTCAAGAGGCATAAGAAAAAACTTAGTAAACTTTTGTGATTGTGCCCAGGCAGGCTCCGTCCCATGGTTACATTTCGACTCTCCCACAATGAACGCAAAGCCCTGTTGAATGGCTTTTGTTTGGTTTTTCAGAGATGCATCTTAATTCAAGCACTTTTGCCTCAATGAGTCAGAGACAGGAAAGCCTCCAGCTTCTCACCAGCTGGTACTTTTCCATGCCTTTCCTGGATTATGTAATGTGGCACATTTTTAGAAACTTGGTTCTAGTGACAGAGACTTCTGAACTAAAATGTCGGCATCCCAGTCCTCACCCTCTTAAGTTTTTGAGAGAAGATACTAGTGTTTTTGAGTTATGGGGAGAAGAAGTTGGTGAATAATATACTCAATGTAAAAGTAATAAAAAGTTTAATGTCATTATCTTAAGCTTTGTCCTATGTTTATATAAGATCAGGAAATGAGAACTGAAGATACATGAGTTTCATCTGATTGTAATTGAGCAAGTGTCTCTGTTGAGATCTCTTAAGTGTAGTAGCATATATGGAAGTAGCATGTCAGCTAAATTCCTACCCACTTGCAGAGGATTGATACAACATCCAGAAGAATTTTTCTATAACCAGAAGTCTAGTGAGTGCATCTCGAGAAAAGAGGGCTCTTGAAATAATGAGAGGCTGACGCAAGAGGAGAGAAGTGTCTTGACCAAGATGGAGGGAGGGGAGCTCAAGGTAAACAGAGCCTGAAACAGAGACTGCTTTAATGACTGTTGAGTTCATGTTGCAATGACCAATTACAAGGACCGGATTCGGGTCTCCCATTTCTCACTTCACCTTCAGAATACCCAGCCTTATCTTTTCTGAGCCATTGGATCAAAGCAGCCCCTCGTCCCAAGGGACCAATTTTTACCAAGTCCTCCTCAGTCTAAGTGCCCAGGAAGCAAAAGCAGCAATCTGATGCCAATTGATGTTCCTCAATGGAGCACAGTGAAAACAGTCTTTTTGTTTTAACTCTACTTAGTGCCAAAGATTATGAAACCTTACTCATGGCTCAAAACACTGGGGCAAAGCCAAACAGGAATCGAAAGAAGCAAGGGAAGCAGCAAGACAGAATGAGCAGCAGCTGTTCAGTCATTCTCCACGGGACCCATGTCTGCTTTCCTTCCTTCTCATGCCCGCAAACACTACCATTTAGTTACATGCCAGTTCCAAGGGTCTTCATATTAAAAACCATCATTTTCAACTGTACTCCAGGGACATGGTGTCACATAAGTTGTGCAGAGAGTTACAGCTTAATTCTGGCCTACTGTATTTTTAGGTACCTGATCTTTGCAGCTAATGGCCATTGTGTTTCTTTGTATGGCCTTTTCCTGTGCCATTAGGACATCTCTATGCCTCAGTATCTGTTGTAGCTGCATTTTAGACTAATGTTAATTTTAGCTCCTAAGAAACAACCTGGAAAAGTCTCAGGGTCTTGCTATAGAAGTCCTCACTCCCTGTCTCTGTTCTCAGAATACAGTCATGACTATGATACGTGTCCTGCATCTAGTTGGGTAATGTGGCTTGCGTTGAGGCGCCCTCACTGCTAAATGATTGTTACTGGACCATCACAGTTATCCACCTCTAAAGAATCATCTATCACACTGTTGCTACATCACTGCATAGAGAAAGGTAGCAACAACCCACTTTTTCATGAAATAAATACTTGGAAAACAAGTGTTAGTTTTACACTCGCTGGATGCCAAGTTCAGGACTAGGTGTTAGTCACCAAAAATGAGGGAGCTACGTTCCCTGTCTTTCTCCACAAATATTTGCACAATCCACATGAAAACTGCACCACTGTACCATCATCAGGTCAGGTCTATAAATTCCAGTGGTATGCTAGAGCCAGTTTGTACCAACTCTTAAGAATTAACATTATGCAACTCTTCACAATGGCTAGCTCAGAGATGCCATGTTGGTAACTCAAAATCAATTATGGTTGGGAATATTTACACTGCAGAAATTGGCAAACACTACAAATCAGGGGTTTTGTTGCTGCTGATTTTGTTGGGGTTTTGTTAGGTCTCTCTCTCCCTCCCTCCCTCCTTCTCTCTATCTCTCTCTCTCTTTCTCCCTCTCTCTCTTTGAGGTGACTTACCAGCATAACACTTTCTACAGTACAGTGATTGAAGCACTGTAGCAGAGAGCACATTTTCCCCTTTCGGGGTGGGGTAAGGTTTTACGTAAGAGAGAACGTAATAGTTGCATATTTCAAGCTGAGTAGGTTTTTTGTTTCCCAGCAGTAAAAAAGGAACAATGAATTTCAGGAAAAAATAATGCAAGTAACGTCATAGAAGTTTCAAATTTTTAAAGAACACTGAGACTTCAGAAAAGGAAGCCAGTACAGGCTGTGGTGCTACCTGAAGACAGCTAACTGAGCTCTAAAGAATAGGTGGGTCTTTGGCAGGTGGACTGGGTGGTGGGTGCACTCTGAGAGAGGGTAGAGCCGTCAGGGCCATCAGCATATACAGAATGGGCCGGGCTGCTCAGCTGTGGCTGGGGAGTGGGGGTGGCAGGAAGAGATGGCATGACTGACCAGGAGGCATTCTCTCTCTTCTCCCTCCTTCCCATCCTAGGAGCATCCATGATAGATTTTCCATGGAGAGAGGGACATTGAAAAATCACAGTTCCCATGTTTCTGCAAACTGTGAGAGTAAAGGAGGCATCTGTCTTCATTTTAGATTCTAACCAGGATTTCTATTTCACCGAGTTTGCCTCAAAATGTCTGTACCGCTGCAGGTGAGAGATTCCTTCCGTAAAAGCACTGCTTTACCTTTCCTTCTCTCCAACACTGTGAACATGAGTGGGGGGAATTCTGTCTTCTTATAGTTTCAAACCATGCTCTAAAAATGAGCACAGACTCACCTACTGGAATAGCTAGACTCCAACACCAAATGCTGGCAAGGATGTGGAGTGACAGCGGTTCTCATTCATTGCTGCTAAGAACACAAACTGGTACGGCCTCTTCAGAAGACCGTGGGCAGTTTTGTTTTTGGTTGTTTTTTGTTTTTGTTTTTGTTTTTGTTTTTTTTACAAAGGTAAACATACTCATACCATAGGATCCAGTCACCATACTCCTTGGTAGTTACACAAATGAGTTTTAAAAGTATGTGCACACAAAAAATTGCATACAGAGATTTATAGCAGCTTTATTTGTAACTGCCAAATTGTTAAAGGAACCAAGATGTCCTTGGTTAGATGAATGGATACATAAACTAGAAAATTCAGACAATGGAATATTATTCAGCACTGAAAAAAATAAGTGGACCAGGTGGTGATGCAGTGCAAGGTCCTGGTGTCACACCCTGGGGCTCCCTGTGCAGGTGACATATGCATGCCCAGGATCTGGGCTGGCAGAGGCTGGGAGTGGATGACAGTACGAAGACCCATTTGGGGGTGCCTCTGTTTTTCTGTCTGTCTCTCTTTCATGGAAGAATAAATAAACCTTAAAAGAAATTAACTAGCAAGTTGTGAGAAGACATAAAGGAACCTTATATGTATATTACTAAGTGAAAAAAATTAATCTAAAAAGCCTACTTTAGGATTTCAGCTGTACGACATTCTGAGAAAGGCACAATACTGAAGTCAGCACAAAAAAAAAAATCAGTGGTTGCCAGGTGCTAGTGAGGAGATAGGGATGCAGAGGTGGAGCACAAAATTCCAGGGCAGTGGAATTCTGGATGATATTTGTAATGGTAGATAGCTGCCATTAGACATTTGTCACACCCCACAGATTATACGGCACCCAGCATGAACTCCAATGTAAACTATGGACTCTGGGTGATAATGATGTGTCAATGGAGGTTCACGGATGCTAACGAATGGACCACTCTGGTGGGATGTTGATAGAGGGAAGAGGCATATGGGAAATCTCTGTACCTTCTGCTCAGTTTTTCTATGAGCCTAAAACTGCTCAGAAAAAGGAATTAAGTGTATATTTTTAAAAGGCATTTTAAAAATTAACACAGGGAAGAAGCCTGCGCTTTAAGTAGCCCAACTCCCCCAGGAGGTCGCTCCTCGCCTCTGAGGACCTCTTGCCCCCAGCATGCCTGGAAGCCCATGTGGTTGCTGCAACCTGTCCTTAGCTTGGAGCCTCATGTGAAGGAGTGACCTGAGTTCATCAACTTGGTCTCAAGGATCTCCATGAACAAGGGCAGACAAATGACTTGGAATACTGAGCCCAAAAGCCGGGAAAGAAGGGAGTGGAGCCAGGAGTAAAGAAAAGCCTGAAGGGAGAAGGTATCAACCACATGGGACAGCTACAGATTGGGTCAGAAGGCATCCGGCTGCTTTATCACTGCCTTTGGAGCCAGAAGTAAAGAAAAGCCTGAAGGGAGAAGAAGGTATCAACCACATGGGACAGCTACAGATTGGGTCAGAAGGCATCCGGCTGCTTTATCACTGCCTTCCCTGCAGAAAACAGAATTTAAAGGAGTGGAAAAGAACAGCAAATTGGAAGGATACATTCTATTCATTTTGTTCATGGCTTTGAGGATAGTTTTAAGAATCCTCACTGGGCTGTGAGAAAGGGGCAGAAGCACTCAGTTCAGCTTTGGAGTCCAAGGGGGCCCACTGTGCACATGCCCCAGACCCCTTGGGGTATTCTCTCTCGGCTGCATTATCTCTAGGGGAGTTGACTTCAGCTTCTGCCACGTACTTGACTGGGCATTGCTGAGTCTTAGTGGACTCATTTGTAAAATGGAGATAATGTCATACCCACCTTCCAATGATCATTCGGAGATAATTTATGTGAAGGTACTTTGTAACCTGAAAATAATTTTGAAATTGTGATTTGATCATCAAAATGCTCTATACTCTCCCAGCACCAACAGCTGTTCCCACATGCACAGAAGCAATTGCATTCCAGCAGGGTTTTAAGGCCCTCATTATCACTTTACCTAGGCCACTGTCTCCCACCCAGCATCTCTCAAACTCTATCTTATAAAAGGTTGTTGGAATTCTAAAACACCATGCAAATCCTGCTATCCTTGGCTCAGACACCTTCAACAGTTCTCTTGTGTCTTCTGGATGGAAGAAAAACTCTTTAACTTGGCATTCAAGGCCCTTCAATATCCACTCTTATCTCCAACTGTTCCCCAACCCACAGCCTCCTCTCCTGTGCCATTCCTTGTCCTGGTAACCCAGCCTTTTCAGATTTTCTGTGCCATTAATAATTCCCTTCTTCTATCCTCTACCTTCTCCTGGTAAACTCTTATTTTTGTTTTGTTTACAGTTTTTTGCTATAGGACTCATGTGCTCATCAGAGACAGAAGAAAAGTGAGAAACCGTTCCCCGGGGGGAAATCACCACACTGTAATCCCTTCTCCATTCTCATCTAGGGATTTGAGGCACTCACACACACCAGTGTGTTTTTCAAGCTACCAGGTCCAAGACTTGATCACACAGTCAGCCATGTGGGTGGGACCCAGTACCTTAACCAATGTACCACCTGCACCCCTCACTTCTGGTAAACTCTAATGCATCCTCTAAACCTCTTCTAAATGATCCTTCTTAAAAATCACTTTCATAATTTCTATTTCCCTTACTCTATCTATCTGTCATTGAATTCCCCTGAAATCGTATTGGTTTTATTTTTATCACCATGTTTCCCAACATATCTTGTAATAATAAATACCTAATGAGCTCATTGGAGTGTACATACATCATTTATCTTCCTATCAAAATATAACATTTTTTAAAGAAAAAAGGCTAGGCTGGTTTTATTCCTATGCCCATAGCATCAAATACACTGAATAAGCAATCAGTAAAAATTCACTCCGTTGACTTAAAGAAGTGAAGTAGGACTGGAGGGTAGAGGGGGTTGGTGACAATCTGAAGGCTAATTGTTAAGAATTTGGATTCAATATCACCTGGTAAAACTACTTTAAAAATGGTTTAGGAGGCACACTTAATATTTGCTCAGTTGTTTTTATTTTCCACTTATCAATTATATTTTTCCATGTAAATTGCCAACATTTTATTGCTTCTGTGTTGTACTGTCTTATAAGTATAAGCAATAGAAAAGTTGCTCTATTTTTGAACCTCAGTTTCTACCAGCTACTTCTGCTTCTCCCATGTGTTTTTAAGATTTGGTGAGAGCATTTTTCTAAAGCAGTGGTTCTCCAAGTATAATTCTTAGGCCCACATGAACATCACCTAGGAACTTATGAGAAATTCAAGTTATCAGGCCCCACCTCAGCCCTACTTAATCAGAAACACATGGGGAGAGGGAAAGAATCTGACACTCTCTCTGAGGCACTCTGATGCCTCAGCTAAGAGCTTGTTAGGCCAAAACTCAAATGTCACTGCAGACCTATTGAACCAGGATCTACATTTTAGCAAGATCACTGAACAATTTCTTTGCATGTTGCCATTTGAAAATCACTGCTATAGAATGCTTTGGGGGAAAGATGCCTTCCAATAGGAAGCTGTCATCAAAAAATGTGACTAGTTAAAAATGATCACGTTATTTTTGCCACTTCTCGGACTGAAAGATAAAATCTGTTTGCCATTCCATTGAACCTGACCTGGGTATGACCTATTTTGATCAGTAGACTATGGCAGTCATGAATTTGTATAAGCCCCATGACTGCACTTTAAGAGATCCAAAGCTTCTGTCTTCATCTCTTAAACAGCCTCAAACAAAACTCCACCAATGCACCATGAAGAAGCCCTAGTGGTACTATGTAGAGAAGAACTTAAAAATTCTGCTCCTTCATCTCCATTCCAGCTGAATTCTCAGCTGACAGCCACAGGCCATCATCTTGGATGTTCCAGACCAGATAAGAACACATGGAGATGAATATCCCAAATCAACATAGCCAACCCTCAGACTTGTGATAGATAATAAATGCTGGAGGGGGGAGTTAAGAGAGATTTTTGCTATAGTGTGCATATGCTCACCAGAGAGCCAGACAGAAAATGAGAAATTACCCCCCCCGGCCCCCCTTGGGGATGGCCATGCCACAATCTCTTTTCCATTCTCCTCTTGGGATTTTTTTTTTTTTTTTGGAGAGATTTTCACTATAGGGTGCGTGCGCTCGCCAGACAGACAGAGAGAGACAGAGAGACAGAAAGCAAGAAATCACTCCACAGGGGGGATGGTCACGCCGCAATCCCTTCTCCTCCATTCTCCTCTCGGGATCTTGGGCACGCACGCACACGCACCCGGCGTGAGTTTTAAGCCACCGGGTCTGGGACGCAAACCGCGGTCGACTACGTGGGAATCCAGCAACATAGCCATTACGCTAACTGCTGGTTCCCCCTCTTGGGATTTTGAGCATGCACACACATGCGCCCAGCATGAGTTTCAGGCCACTGGGTCCAGGACTCAAACCTCAGTTGCCCATGTGAGAGTCCAACAGCATAAACATACCATCTGCTGGTCCCTAAATGGTTGTTGGTTTAAGCCACTACATTAAAGACAACAAGCTAGTAAGCAAAACAATCATATGAAACCGTAAAGAATCTTTTCAGGAATTCCAAGTCATTTGCTAAATTATAAGCATTGTAACTTCCATGATACTCAATAGATAGTTGTAGCTATTTGCAACATGAAAAACCCCATGAGGATTGTATCAAGAAAAAACATGTATTCATGATACAGCCTGGCATGTTCCACCTTGCACCTCATGCAGAAGGCCAGCAATGGGCAGATGAAGAGGGCCAGAAATGCCACTCCACCACAGTCTGATTCTTTGTCATATAGATTATTTTTGAGCTAAAGCAACCAATACCTAGTAGACACAGGAAAAGCTCTTTACCTCTCTGACTGCCTAGAGTACATGAATTCTCCGTGTAAAGGAAATTTGCATTTATAATGGAAATTTCCACTTGCAAAGGTGTCTTTGTGCCAAGAAGAGAGCTACTCTCTAAGACAACTCAGTACCTGAGAGACTCTTATCTACGTAATAAGATGACCTTATTTAGCAATTTTCTCCCAGTACTTGCCTCCCTGACCCCTTTCCTTTGTTTAGCCCAAGGCAACATATAACTTCAGTCATCTTGCTGCCTTCTTGAGGTTGGTATTTTTTGTGAACCATGGATACATATGTGATTAAAACTGTATTGCTTCTGTTGCTAATCTCTTTTATCAGTTTGATGCGTGGCCTCTAGCTAGTAGGTGTAGGAAGATGGATGGGAAAAGGCTTTCTCTCTGCTGTAAGTGTAGTAATATATCCATATTATGAACGTGTCAACAGAAAGAAAGTGATAGGGATAGAGTCATAGAAAGACTTAAAGCTCTTCAGCGTGGGACCCAGGGGAGAAGTTTCTTCTAGTCACTGAAGGAGTGGCTGTTGCTGGGCTCCACCAGTGACTGATAAAGAACTCCCAGCAAGACCACTCATTTGGCTTTGTTATATTTCCATGGTGACACAGATGACTGGCTGACTTAGGAATCGGAAATAAATGATCATTATTATAAACATCTGACATTTTAGAGTCGCTGGTTAAATGGCGTCATCACGGCAAAAGCCTAACACAATTTGTAAAATTAGCATTTTCTCAGGGCTAGCAGCTATCATAGTGGTTAAGGATATGGACTACCACATGGCTGAATAACATAGTGGTTAAGGCTATGGACTACCACATGGCTGACTACAGTTTGAGTCTCAGAGCTGGAGGCTTGTGCAAGTGTGTGTGTGTGTGTGTGTGTGTGTGCGCCCAAAATCCCAAGAGAAGAATGAAGGAGAAGGGATTATGGCATGGTCATCCCTGCCGCACCGGGGAGGGGGGATTTCTCATTTTCTCTCTCTCTCTCTGTCTCCCCAGCAGGTGCACATACCCTATAGCAATAATCTCTAAAAAAAATTTTTTTTTAAATCAGACTTTCCTCAGAACTTGATAAAGGTGTGAGGCATGTGCACATCCGACTCCAGTGGAAAGCAGTCCTCAACCAAAAAACCTGGATTGGGAAGCCATCTTTCTAGAGCACTTTGCTGAGAGCAACAGAAGCTGACATCGACTTCATCGACTTCACCAACTTCACCAACAGAATGACTGACATCCACTTCACCGACTCACTGATTAACAACAGCTCTCCATGTAGACTCACACATGCCAGCAGTTCACAGCCAGAAAACTTATCTCCAGAGGCACTCACTGTGGTGGCGCATTTACCAGAGTCAACCACCGTCATTCTCAAACCTATTCAGGCCATTGTCACAAGACATGACACGATATGATGACGTAAGAACACCGAAGAGAATTGTTCCCATGAAAACTAAGCTGAGTGCTTTGTGAAAACTCAATTAGGCACATTTATTTTGTTTAAATTCAGAAAACAATTTGATGAGGTTCTTTTTTTAATTGTGACAAAATACACATAGCATAAAATTTACCATTTGTTATGAACTGAATGTTTGTGTCCTCCCTAAATTCCTATATTGAAGCCCTAATTCCCAGTGTGGCTGCATTTGTACCCAAGACATGTAAAGAAGTAATTAAGGTTGAATGAGCTCATGAAGGTGGGACCCTGATTTGACAGGATTAGTGCCCTTGCAAGAGCACCCTCCCACACTCTACTTTGACCTTGAGAACATGGAAACTGAATTTACCATGAGAAAATAAACATCTGTTGTTAACGCCACCCAGTCTGTGGTATTTTGTTATAATGACCTGAGCAGACTAAGACACCATCTTTTTTTTCCTTTTTTTTTTTTTTAAGGTTTTTGCCATAGGGTATGTGCACTCATCAGAGACAGAGAGAGACAGTGAGAAGGAAAATAAGAAATCACCCCTCAGGAGAGAGGTCACGCTGCAATCCCTTCTTCCTCCTGGGATTTTGGGCATGCACACACACACACACACACACACACACACACACACACACACTCAGTATGATTTTCAAGCTTCCAGATCTGGTACTCAAACTGCCATTTGCCATGTGAGAGCACGTCAACCACCCAGCCCACCTGCTGGCCCCTAAGACACCATCATAGCCATACTTAAAATGTTCCATTTATGGACCATCAGATGGCGTAATGGTTACGTTGCTGAACTCCCTCATAGTCAAACACAGTTCAAGTCCTGGACCCAACAGCTTAAAACTCACGCTGGGTGTGTGGGCATGCATGCCCAAAATCCCAAGAGGAGAATGGAGGAGAAGGGACTGCAACATGGCCATGCCTTCTGGCGTGGGGTGGAGGGGGGTCATTTCTTGCTTTCTGTATCTGTCTCTCACTGGTGAGCACACATGCCCATAGTAAAAATCTCTTAAAGAATTCAATTCATAAACTTAATATCAGAAAAGTCATTATGTATTTTTCTGTTTTTCTATGCAAAATTGTGCCATGACTTTTCCAGTGACCCAGTATATTAGCATTTTTATACGAACTGGTTTTTTTTTTTTCCCAATGCTATTTAATAAGGAGTGAGTTTATTTTTTCCCAATGCTATTTAATAAGGAGTGAGACAACTGTAAAAGATTGAGGATAAAATCGTCCAAGTCTAGCACCCTGCATGCAGATTGCTTCCTGAGCGCCTTTAAGTTCTCACTCCTTTATAAGGAACCCAAACTGGAAAACAGCATAAATACTCCAACTATATGAAGAAAGTCAGTGGAGAATCTTAATCAGTGAAGCCACACTCAGAAAGTCTTACTCCAAAGAGTTAATAAATTAATATTCTTGGGACCAGCAGATGGTGTAATAGCTACATCACTGGACTCCCACATAGTCGACCATGGTTCGAGTCCCAGAACTGGTGGCGTAAAACTCATGCCAGGCATGTGTGCCTGCATGCCCAAAATCCTGAGAGGATATTTGAGAAGAGATTGAGGCATGGCCATCCCCCCAGGGGTGTGATTTCTCACTTTCTGTCTCTCTGTCTCTCACTGTATCTTTGGTGAGCACATGTGTCTATAGCAAAATACCACTCTAAAAAAATAATTAATGTTCTTAATATATTTTAAATAGAATGTTTCAGTATGTTGATTTTATTTTTTTTGTTTCCTTGTTCAACAGACTCTTTTGATTAATCAGCCAGTCACTGGTGTTAGTCATGTCAGATATGAAGAGTGCACAGATTTCATTCCATCTGGCTGGGTTTTAAGGATGAGTGGGTTTCCACCAAGCGAAAGAGGATGAGAATAATAATATGGTGGAGGAAACATGTTGACAAAGCCACAGAAGAATGAACACACGTGACATATTAGGGAACTGGTGCAACATCAAGTGTGACCAGGACACAGCATCATTAAGGCACCTCAGGAAACAAAAGCAGAAAGATACACTTGTCTCAGATTGCTCAAGGCCTTGAAAAATCCACATGCTAAGACATTGGACTTGATCCTGTGGCTGGCCGTTGAAGATTTTCATGGGGGTTCTGTTCTAATACAAGTTAGGTTTAAGTGAAACATACAAATTATAGGAAAGGAAGATAGGCATTAGGTGTTTTCTACAAGAGTCCCTGTAAGAGATGACAGGATATAGATGTCTGATATAAATAGTGGTAGCAAAAATGGAAATGTGGAAATAGACATGACAGGCATTTTGCAAACAAAATTATGACAGTTATAAATAAGACAGATGTGTTTTAAAATAACGTGGAGATTTCTGGTAAGATAGTAAGATTTTCAGATTGTTTAGTAACAGATCAGAACTGGCAGAAAATTTAGCCCGTAGGTTTCTTCCAAGAAAATATCTTTTTTAACATAGATAAGTTCATGTTAACTGACTGCAACATATACCCCTGATACTGTCACTCTGAACAGAAAAGAAATGAGACTAAGTTTGAAGTGGGAAAACTCAAGACCTTTCTAGGTCAGAGTGACCTGACACAGCAAGTGAAATAGCTGCTGAGAACCTGAAATCTTCTGGAACCAGCTACACAGCCAGGAGAGAGTCAAAGTGCTTTCCCTGGCTGTTTCTCTGACATTTTGTTTGTTCGTTTGTTTGTTTGTTTTGTTGTTTGTTTGTTTAGGTAGGGTCTTACTTCATCATGATCCTTCTTCCTTAGCCTCCAAAGCAGGCAGAACTATAGGTGTATGCCACCAGCCTGGCTTTCTGGCATGATATCTTAAAAATAGAGACTGTGTGAAAAAATAGTCCTCCAACAGTTTGATATAGTAAAGCTGTACAGTATATTTCTATACAATCTTTCCTTGCACCTGATATGATTATTAAATTGAAATCAATTGAATTGCATTGGTCAACTGCCCCAAGATAAATCTTATCCACTTCAATTCCTTTCCTATAGGCATCCTGTAAGACATTTCCAAGAGAGTCTGAGCCTTAAGACATTTTTCCTTTTTTAAAAATAATTATATACTATTATTATTTTTCAATTCACTATTGGGCACATGAGCTCACCAGAGAGAAACAGAGAGAGAGAGACAGGGAAAGTGAGAAAGCAAGTTGCCAGGTCAAGGACTTGAACCACAGTAGATCATATGAGAGTCCAGTGCCTCAACCACAATGCCACCTGCTGGCCCAAGGTATTTTTCAAGATTCGGAATACTCAGCAGTAATTATCCCACTGTGAGTACTAGCAGGTATTCCTTTCATGTGTGTTAGTATGTGGTAGCATAAATGCTTATTGAATTTGATTTAGTACTATGTTATGCTGATCTAGTTCATAAGATGCTTAGAATTCAGTAAGATGGATAGGCTAATACAAAAATAATTGTGATACCTGTAAAAAAAAATTTTAAATAATTCTGAGGAAAGGAGTAAAACATTCCACTAAGAAGAACTAAAATTTTATATTACATTCATGAAAATATTAGCCTAGTACTTATTCTACATGCCTTCTTCCTTCATTTCTAATTTGATTCTAATCTCTGGCCATCCCAAATACTTACTTCCTAAAATAGTCTTTATGTCTTATATTATTTCAGTCTCTTTGAGCCCTCTCATGATACGGTCTGAGAGGGGCAGTCTCTGAAGTTCTAGGATAGATGTGTACTCTAGAACTGGTTTAGCCCATGAAGGGACATAAAACCCTATTCAAGTTGTGCTCCAACTTGGGTTTTTGTTTGTTTGTTTGTTTGTATGTTTGTTTGTTTTTGTTTTTTTATGCGCTAGCCCATTTTATCTTAGGTGTTAACTTTCTGAGGGTGGCTATATAGAACACATTCTATGGAAAATCCAAGAAAGTGTAGACATGATTTTTAAAAATTGGGCGGGGTGGGTGGGGGGGTTGGCTTATGCTCCTTTGAGATGTACATCCAGTCTGGTCCTAGAATAGGATGTTGATCTATTTATCCCAAAGGAAACTGAGCCTGAGCCTGATTTCTCTATAATACCGTTTTATGTTTCTTGGTTATGTCCTTCCCGAGAACTTCATTTAGATACATGTACTCAAGAGAAAAGAGCAGAACAAGATGGTGGAATAAGGCTCTATAGATTGTGCCACCACAGAAACATCAATTTGAACAATTATCCATGCAAGAAAATACCTTCATAAAAACAATGAGTGATCACAACACCTGGATTGTAACACAATAAGAAGAAAAGATGCATTGAACAGGGTAGGAAGGTCAGATTTACATTATCTTCATTGCTCCTCACCCAGGCCCAAACAGGAAAGCACAGATAGAGATACCATCCATTTCGGAAAGAGAAAGAAGTAAATACAGGACTTTTTCTTGGACCCCAACACTGGGCTTACCACAGTAGAAACCAGCACTAGACAAGCCCCCATAGTCCCAGATTCCAGACCAGTTCTTTCAGAGTAAGCGTCCAGACCCTCTTAGCACCAGGTGGAACCCTGTAGACTGGGGTCAACTTCAGCAATCCAAGGATCCAAACTGCTCTCAGATGGAGGCAGACCTCAATGGCCCTGGGCTTATAGTCCACATCAATGCCATGCCAGCCTCAGTGTCCCAGACTTCAGAATCATGCTGGACAGCTGCCCATAATCTCTCTATGGGCTGACTGGTAAAGGACTTTCCCAGATAAAATCAATCTGGAAAGATGGAATAAGTGGCCTACTTCCCCAAATGTGTAGACATTTATACAGAGCCGCGGGTGTCAGTCCTGAAACCACAGATAATACTGAATCCCACATATACTATGTTCTTATATATACCTATGGTAAAGTTTAATTTATAAAATTGGCATAGTAAGAGATGAATAACAAAAACTAGTAATAAACTAGAACAATTATAACAACACACTGTAAGAAAAGGCATGTGAATGTGGTCTGTCTCTCTTTCTCTCTTTCTCTCTCAAAATATCTTATGGACTATACTCATCTATTTTTGAACCATGGTTATCTACAGGTAACTGAAACCATGGAAAGCAAAACAACTGTTAAGAGGGGACTACTGTGATCATTTTAACAGAATGAAGGATAAAAACCATATGATCATTTCAAGAGATTCAAAAAATCATTTGACAAAATTCAACATCCTGTCGTGATAAAAATCCTCTACAAGTTAAGTATAGACAGAATGTACCTCAACACAGCAAAAGCCATATATGACAATCCTACAGATAACATTATGCTCAATACAGAAAAGTCAAAAGCTTTTTTCTAAAATCTGGAACAAGGTAAAGGTGCCTATTCTCACTGCTTCTACTCAACATAGTACTAGAAATCATAGCCA